TTTTTGCAGCCCATGCCCTCATGGTGGGTGAAGGTCCAACTGGGGAAGGCAGCCGAAGCCCCGCCCCTTCTGCCCAAAGCTACAGCTCTTCCCACAAGACCCTGCCCCTTCACAACCTTCCCCTCCCCCCTCCAGCTAAGCCCCGCTCAACCCCAGCTGAGGGCCAGGGCTGCAGCCCTATCACCTCCTCAGTGGCTGGGCAGTGTAGTTTTGGGAAGGCAATGGGTTCCTTTGCCTGCATTACCCACCACCCATGCCATACCTCCTTTCCCATGTCTACCTCTGTGCCTTCTTTTGCATTAACCCTCTCTACCTGGACCTCCCTTGTTTACCCTTTCCAACAGCCACTCCCTCAAGGAAGCTTATAATCTATGTTTCCCCAGGCAAAAACACCAACCAGAAACACATGGCCCCATTCTCAATTGCCCTGTGCCGGCAGACGCCTGCCAAATAATACCAAACCAGAGCGGGAATATTTCACATCCACTTTGCACAAGGATCAATAATAAAGTGGGAGGCAGTTGAGGATGGGGCCCCAACATATCCATGTACCCTAAATGCACACATTTGCTCCCGACCTCACAGAAGACATTGGCGGGGGGTGGAGGACTCTCATTTACACTAAGGCTTCTTTGCATTGCTCTGGCTGAACAAAGGGTCCTTACATCAGTGTACATACAATTTAGGCCCACGTAAAGCCCTTTTATACTGTTAGCTCAAGCAAACAGTGCAAATCATAATCAGTGACCACCTTTGCATCACTCCTGATGGTAGCAACAGTGGAGGAAAATACATGTGTGAGAGAGGGTATAAAGGGCATACCAGGAACGTAGGATCAGGGTCATCATCTTAGTGATGTGACTAATGCCAATGACATAGTTTCCTGACACATAAGATGATGTTGTGTGATTCTGCTTTTTTAGAATATGAGCAGCACAGTAAAATATAAATCTTCCTGTCATGGATGGAGCAAAAGTCACTGCAGAATACTACAGCCTTGAGCCTGCAGTCAAGTATCTGTGCCTTCCCAAAACCCTGCCACAATCAGTAGAATACAAAAAGGGGCCCTATTGTGTCTCTAGTGTTCACTCATGCAGAGGATCAGTATCTAAACGATCATGTACATTCTTATTTAAAGGCATGGCCTCAGACCCATTAAATGAAAGAGATTTTACTGGGCAATGGACCAGGAGCTAATCTCTGTGTCTTGAAGTTCTTGTACACTGTAAACTGTTCGTCTACAGAGTGTAAACTCTTCAGTGCAGCAATCTGACTTCTGAGTTGCCCAGGAAGCACCTACAACACCTATAAGCACTTTAAAATAGCACATGAATAAAGAATAACATAATATTAATTTTGTGGATGGATGGATGACAGGAGAGAGATCACATGAGGTATTGGCCACTGCCAGCAGACAGGATACTGAGCTAGATGGACCTTTGGTCTGACCCAGTATGGCCGTTCTTATGTTGGGACTGCTGTGGGAATTTTACTCAAGAAAGATGGTGCCCCAAACACGCTGAAATCGTCTTTTATTTTCAAATACTGTGCGTAGATTTTAGTATCATTTAACAGCAAAGTTGCTGACAGATGCAAAAGGTTCCCTGTTTTCACTCCGAGAACACTTCAGTTCAGAAGACAGTAGACACGTTTGTGTGTTTTAATACATTTTCATATTTTATAAAAGTCATTTCTTCTGGAGAAATGGTATGGTGGGTGCAGCTTTTAATGCTTTCAAGAATTGAAAATGTTCATTGAAAGATAATGGAAAGCAGACATTTAGTAACATTTTCATTTTGCATGTTTAAATATTCATAACTATGTTCATAAAACCACATGTTTCTTCTCCTAGTGCTCTAGCGATTGTGTTTATGAAATGCAATATTTCTTGATTGTCCCTTCATTGCATCAATTTTTTTTTTTTTTTTTTTTTTTTGCAGAATGCTATTTTGTCAGATTATGGAAGTGACAATTAGCTTTTAGGTAAAAGATTGTCCAAGATGAAGAGCAGAAAATTACACGAAAGAAAGCATTGGCAGCCCCAATACATGTTTCACTGATGCACCTGTGACTCTAAAAATTGTATAGGAGGTTTGTGATAGCTTAATTCTTACACAATGACAATGTACTGTCAATTTGGAAGTATATGTTTCTTAGTCTAGTATAAAACACTGATATCATATTTCTAGGTTTCATTAACAAAAAGTCAAGTGCTGATAAGGCTTCCAATAAAAAGTATTCTCTTTACTATGTATATTTTCTGTTAAATTTAAGTAAAATAAATTAATATGAATTCAGAGTCACTTTAATATTACAGTTGCTCCGATTCCCAAAAAGTGTTGTTGAAAGTTGATCAATTAGTCTTAATCAGAAACCTAAAATACCAGTATCCTGAAATAGCTATTCCATGTCTTTTAGGCAAATCCATTATTTTGAAATATAACGAGCTCGCTACTCTGACATCCTTGTAATTAAGGGACATTTCGGAATAGCAGTTTATTTTGAAATTTGGCACTGTATAGACAGCACCAAATTTCAAGATAAACTATTTCAAAATTAACTCAAAATAAGATACACAATCTGTGTAACTCAAATTCCGTAGTTTATTTTGAGCTAAGGGTGCAGTGTAGACGCACCCTAACAGATGTAGACTTCATTGCAGTGAAGTCTTCATTAAAGACACTACCACATAGACTCTACTGCAGAGTATGGTACATTTTCTAAATTAAAATTATATGGAAATTAGGATATTCATAGTAAAAACAATAAGTAGTCCCGGGGCATCTTAGGGTATGTCTAGACTACATGCCTCTGCCGACACAGGCATGTAAACTAGGCTACCCAACATAGTCAAAGAAGCCGGGATTTAAATATCCCCGGCTTCATTAAAATAAACATGGTCGCCGCGCTGTGCCAGCTCAGCTGATTGTCGGCACAGCACAGCAGTCAAGACGCGGATCGGTCGACAGGGGAAGCCTTTGTCGACCGCTCCTGTAAACCTCGTTGCACGAGGCATAAGGGAGTGGTTGACAAAGGCTTCCCGTCGACCGATCCAGTGTATAGAATCATGAATTTTTATGGGTAAAACCCACTTCATGGAAAGCTCATGATGCTATATATTTGTTAGTCTAAGGTGCCACAGGATACTCATTGTATTTGAAGTTACAGACTAACACAGCTTTACCTCTTGAGACTTTTTACCATAGTAACTAGCGTTTACAGAAGTTCTCTCAAAAGTTTGGGCTCAATGAAATCAACAGAAAGGTTTCTACTGATTCCATTCCACTGAATCCTCAAATCATATCAATTCTAGGCCAAGATTTTCAAGGGTGGTTAAAGATTTTGATTGGCTCCTTTTTCCGATGCCCCGCTTGAAACACCAATGTCACAGGGCTAAACCTTTCTCTGACTGATGCCAGAGTCAGTGGCGGATATACGGCAGGGCAAGCGGGGCAGCCGCCCCGGGCCCCGCGCTTCAATAATCCCTGCACACGCACCGTGGTACCACCATGCATGCACTGTGTCAAAGGGGGGGCCCCGCAAAATTGTGCTGCCCTGGGCCCCGCAAAATCCTCATCTGCCCCTATCTGCCCCTGCACTGAGTGTTCCCTTCATAGACCACTTGCAAGACTGGGAGTAAACATGAAGGCTATGTCTACATTGTGCTCTCTTGCACAAGAACATATTTATTACCATGCCTCATTTACATACTTAATGAGCCGCCATTTTTGCACAAGGGACTTTTGTGCAAGAAGGAGCAGTCTACTTGGCGCAAGAGCTGTTCTGCCTGAAAATAAGCAGCATATGCACCTCATTTGCATATGTTCTTGCGCAAAAGAGCACAACGTGGATGTAGCTGAAGAGGGGGAAGGAAGAGATGACACATCGTGGCAGCTTTTTGTTTTGCATCATGTTTGTTACTATTCATATCTTAAATGATAGTTTATGAAAACATTAGGGGAAGTAATAGAATCCTCTTGTTTAAAAGTCTCAGAGGGGTAGCCGAGTTAGTCTGTAAGTGAAAAAACTTAAAGAACAACAAATGGTCCTGCAGCACCTTGGAGACTAACAAAAATATATATGGAATCATAAGCTTTCATGGGCACAAGAAGTGGGTTGTGCCCACGAAAGCTCATGATACCATCTATATTTTTTATTAGACTCAGAGGGTATGTCTACACAGCAGCATTATTTTGGAATAGAATAACTGATGTTATTCCAAAATAATATAGTGTGTGTCTACTCTACAAGCCTTTATTTCAAAATAATGGCGAGCTGAAGGACTTTTTACTCTGACTTATGGTAGCCCTCATTTCACAAGGAGTAAGGGAAGTCGAAGGAAATGTGTTTTCTTCTTTCAACTTCCTGCTGCGTAGACAGTGTCAAAAGTTATGCTATTTCGACTTAAGCTACACAACAGACGTAGCTGAAGTTGCATAGCTTAATTCAACTCTAGCTCTGCTGTGTAGATATACCCTAAGGTGCTGCAAGGCTATTCACTGTTTAAGAATCCTCTTGAGAGATTCATTTTAAAATAAAGGCACAGACTGAAATTAAAAATACAAAATATCTATAAATACCAATGTCATTTCCATCTCTAACAAGTTTGATATATATCTATATATAAATATATAGTTTATATTATAAAGGTAATATATAGTTTCTATTATTGAAATGTTACACATGTAAAATTTATGGGCCTATAGGACCCCCACAGGGACTTTCTGCAATTGTTACTTCATTTTCCAAAACAGCTCTCATGGCCTAATAATACATCCCTTAACTATCAAGAAAGGTAGCAGTGTTAGTCTGTAACTTCAAAAACGAGTAGTCCTGTGGCACCTTTGAGGCTAACAAAAGTATAGAGTAACATGAGCTTTCCGAGGCAAGACCCACTTCATCAGATGATGAGTTGGGAGTAGAAATAAGAGAAACCAGGTATTTTATAACACCGTTATAAGAGGAAGAAGGGGGGAGAAACGGGGAAGGTACCTGTCTATTGTAGGACCAGTGCTAATGAGGCAAATTATGAGGGCTGGAAGGTTGTGAACCCCTGTATTGAGAATTTACATTAAAAACAACAAGGAGTCCGGTGGCACCTTAAAGATTAGCAATTTTATTATTGCATAAGCTTTCGTGGGTTGCAATTCACTTCATCAGATGCATTAAGGGAAAGAAACAAACATATAGCAGGGGTACAGAAATGGGAGTGTTACATCAGAGCCAATTCAATCAGGATGGATGTAGATAAGAAGGTAAGAATACCTAATGTGGAAAATTACTTATGGTCATGAGTGAGCCCTTCCCAATCTCTATTCAAAGTTTACATTGATAGGCATAATACCATCAGCAAGAGCCATGTCCTGGACTAGGAGACACAGTGCAGCATATCCACTGCTGACCCTGCAACATGATGAGTTATTTAAGAGCAGGTTGGACAGACATCCATCAAGGATGATCTAGATGGTGCTTGGTCCTGCCGTGAGGGCAGGGGATTGGACTTGATGATCTCTCAAGGTCCCTTCCAGTTTTAACATTCTGTAATTCCATGTGCTCTTTCCACTCCCTTTGAAATGAACAGGAATTGAGAATGCTTGGCAAGGTAAGGCCCCCAACATGTAGGCTATTCAGTGGAACAACGTTTATTTCTCACGGTACGCTGAACAATACAGGACTAGTTCTCCTTTCTGCTTCTGACAGACCAGCTTCAGCCTGTACAACAGAAAAGGAAACAAGCTGGAAGCAGGTTGTTCCAGGAATCAAATGGAGTTGAGGTCTGGTATAAAGCCCATTGAGGTTACGTGTTAAGTATCCAAAATGGCTGCATCACGGCCATTTTGTATCTCTGGAGTTACTGCAGGTTCAAGCCAGGAGCCTCTGCCCTTCTGAAAGAGTCCAAAGATATGGCAAGTAATGTATATACAGTACAAGTTGTACAATCACATTTCTTCTAAGGGTTTCTGGGCCAGTAGCCTGCCTGGCATGTTTCCTTAACTTCTCTCACAGCCAGATAGGTGTTTGTGCCTTCATTTGTTACTGGGGATGTAGAGCTGGCTCTAGGCTTTCTACCACATGTAGCCTCTGTCATCTGCAAAGGTGCAAACCGTGAGGTTTCAATGAAAGAACATGATCAGCCTATAGCAAAAGGAATTTGTCCAACTCAGCTTCATGTGGGGCTCATTACAAAGCCTAGTTTTGGCAATTCAAAAGCTGATGCTACTGAACAAGCTGCCAAAACAAAAATACCCAACTAATCTCTTTTTTCCGTTATTAGCAGATTGACTTGGCATTGCTTGGGTTCTTAACACAATGAAGTTTTTTTTAAATAAAAGGGAAATGTACTGCTTTATTAAATGATTGTATTTTTCAAAAATACAGTGTTATTTCTATTAACAAGTTTGTTTCAGATTTCTTAAAAAAGGGGATTGTTCAAATGTGTCCTTTTAAATTTTTTAAATAATTTTAATGGGAATTCCATCAAGTGTATTTTTTTATCCCTATAAACTCTTATCATTCACTATGTTCTAGCAAAAAGGGGTTATAATCAATTTAGTGGCCAATAACATTGTCTTCTGGTTTTCAAACCTTAAAGCAGTGATTTAGCTGTGCCAACACAGAGCACACCTCTAAATGTATCCGTTTTATCTCTCTTCTGTAAGGTTTATTGAGAAGTAAACCTATTCCAAGTTCATCTCATTTTTCTGACTCATCTTGGCTCAGTCTCTTTCAACATTCATTGTCAATTCTGAGGACTACTTGATTTGGTGATTCTCTTTTCTGTTATGAAAAACAATCACATTCCATACACAACCAAACTCTTACATTGCTCTAAGTTATGATAAACGGAAACTGTATACCAAATTTGGTGGTCCTAGCTCTTACCGTTTAGGAGGCATTTCTGAATAAACAGACAAACTCTTTAGTCTACAGAGCAACATTATTTCAAAATAATTAGCGTTATTTCTAACTAACTTAGTCCGCATCTACACATCAGGCAGTTTTCAAAATAATGTTGAAATACTGGCAAGCTGGAGGACTCCCCTTACTCCTCGTACAATGAGGAAGTCAGAGGAAGAGTGCTCTATTTCGAAATAAGTGCTGTGTAGTCTCTCCCAATTTTGAAATAAGCTACACAATTGATGTAGCTCTGTTTGCGTAGCTTATTTTGAGGTAAGCCCTGCTGTGTATGTGCACCCCACTTCTACACAAGCCACCCATTATTTCAAAATATTGTTCTAAATAATTAGTGCTCTATTTAGACATCCCGGTAACCTTTGTTCCACACGGATTAAGGGATATTTTGAAATAGCATGTTATTTTGAAATTTGGTGCTGTGTAGATGTGCTGTGTAGATGTGCCAAATTTCAAAACAGATTCGAAATGATACGCAATTTGCATAGCAATTTGTGTATCTTATTTTGAGTTTAGGGTGCTGTGTACATGCACCCTAAAATACATAGTAGATTAAACTTTTCTATCAGATGGAACCAAGAAACATGCATGTACTTACCACCATAGTTTTATGTTAAAAAATCTAAACAGCAAAATATCCTTGTTTATGGAACATCAAACTCAGCATCTCACAACTGAAATATCTGCTCATTTCTTGCCTCGTGACTTAGTTCCTCTCTAAACTAAGCATACAGAACTTCCATTGGTGTCACAGAACACAGAGGGCAGATAGCCTTAATAACCTTAGCTCGTAGAGCCAAATCTGCATAAATCAGGTCCCAAGCTCCTGTGAGTATTATATGAACAAGTAAAGGTTCACACAGGTATACATTTGCAGGAAACAGAACGTATTTTTAACCCGAGCTAATGTAATATCAAGGTTAAACAAGTGCCTAATTTCAACTGATGTGAAGACTAGCCAGCCTGAATCAAATATTTGTTGCTGCAAATGGCAACAAGTTGAAGATTATTTTTCTGCAGAAAATGTGTCCCAAACTGTTCCTCTCAGAAAACAGGAAAACATCTCTGCAGAGACATTTCCCCACATAATTAGACTGACCATAAGAACAGCATTTGTGTTGGACCAGTCCATCAGCAAAGGCCAGGAGAGTCAGTCTAGTCCAGTGTTTCTCAACTTTTTATAAAGTACCCCTTTAAAAAAATTATAAGTACCCCCAGAACCTAGAGTTTTTAGACACCCTAATTTTTTGTCTATTGCAACACATTTGTTTTAACGACTTAATTGTAGCCAGGCAGGCGATGAAATTTTTTTATGTAAAAAGTACAAAATAAAATGCTCTAAAACTTAAAACAAAAATTCAGTTTTCTCCAAATGTCAGTTGTTTATTTATCCCCCGCCTCCTCTGGACTTTTCTCGAGTACCCTAAGGGTATTCGTACCACTGGTTGAGAAACACTGGTATAGCACTAGCTAAGAGGCAACATTTTTAGATTAAAAACAGAGTATTGAAGAAAAAGACGGGGAACGTGCAAAATAGGACAACATTAGTTGCTGCAGAAACAAGAAAGTTTTAGAGCCAAAACAGTCAATGTAGAAACTTAATGGTGTTGTACTAAGACATTGGAGAACAACTTGATCATGTGCTTTCAGACTGTACACAGGCACAAGCTGCTCAAAGCATACACAAATGTTTAAACAAAATATGATTTCCATAAACTTGCACCTAAAGTATGAAAATATGCAAAAACAATCATACCCACAAAGGAACCAGACTGTTCATGGCTCATAAAGCATGGCAGAAAAGGAATGGGGAAGGCTGGTCAGCTGTTTTCATTTAGATTCTTATTATGCAATGAAACCTTGTTACTGATTTAAAAAAGAATACTTCTTGGGGTCTATATAGTTGGGGCAAAATCTTGCTAAACTTACTCTTGCAAATATGTCCAATGTCAGTGATTTCATTGGCGCTGACAGCAGCCATGGAATAGGCAAGCAAGATATGGGCCTTTATTTGTACATGCCAGGACTGCTGGATTAATGTGCTTTGATAAAAATGCAGGCCCGTTATTAATTATAATGCACTGAATACTGAACTAGCATGTCATCGCAAAACAGGGGACATTTTAACCCCTCCCAATGCACATGCCAGCCAAAAAAAACCCACTTAGTGGGACTAGTGGTGTGATCAAGGATAAGCAGTATGGACACACCTGCAAGCATTTGAAAAACCAGCAGCCAGCCCTTCCCAAAATCATCAGATTTACTTAAAAGTCACGATTTAAAAAAAAATAATCGTGAGACTTCCTTGCTTGCTTGACTTGTGCACTCACTTCCCACCCTCAGCCTTTGCTCTGCAAGGCCGGGAGGCTAAGAACTCTCCGTATTTTTTAAAGGAGAGCTGACAATCTCTGCACCAGGTGCTGGGGCTTGGGAGGGACCCTCATCCGTAGGACAGGGCAAATAGCAGGAGCGTTCTTGTGCCCGGCGTGGCTGCCTGCAAAGCCCCTTTGCAGCCACCTCCTGGTGCCTCAGGGGCCATGCAGCAGGGGAGGCAAGGATGGGCCTGCAGGTGGTTTCCAGGCGCCCCCAGGGAGGAGCGCCCCTGACCGGCAGGCACCCCCTGGAGGCGCCCGGGGAGCTGCGGAGCAGGTGCCCAGGGCCCGGCCCAGCTGCGCTCCAGCGGGCTGGCG